GCACTTTGGGAGGCCGAGGCGAGTGGATTGCCTGAGTCCACGGGTTCAAGACCCACCCAGGCAACTTGGTGAGACCTCATCTCTACAATAAGTCAAAAAAATTAGCCGGGCGTGGTAGCACACGCCTACAGTTCTGGCTGCTTGGAAGGCTGAGGCAGAAGGATCACTGTAGCCCAGCAGGTTAAGGCTGCGGTGGCCGGGAGCATGCCACTGCACTCCAGTCTGGGTGACAGAGTGAGATTCCAACTCAAAAAACAAAAAACAAAAAAAAACAATGTCATATAAAATAGAATTTAAAAAAAAAATTGTCAGGGCACAGTGGCTCATGCCCGTAATCACAGCTCTTTGGGATGCTAAGATGGGGAGTTGCTTGAGCTCAGGAGTTCAAAACCAACCTGGGCAACAAAATAAAATTTCATCTTTATAAAAATTCAAAAAATTAGCCAAGCATGGTAGCACACACCTGTAGCCACAGCTATTTGGGGGACTAAAGCGGAAAGGTAGCCTGAGTCTAAGAGGTCGAGACTGTGATGAGCCATGATTGTGCCATTGCACTCCAGCCTGATCAGAGTGAGATTTTTGACTCAATTTTAAAAAAAGGCCAGGCTTGGTGGCTCAGCCTATAATCCCAGCACTTTGAGAGCCAAGGCAAGTAGATTGTTTGAACCCACGGATTTGATACCAGCCTGCAAAATTGGCGAGACCACACCTCTACAATAAATCAAAAATTAGCCAGGTGCCGCAGCACACACCTGTAGTTCTGGATCCTTGGAAGGCTGAGGCAGAAGGATTGCTGGAGCCCAGCAGGTCAAAGCTGGGGTGGCCATGAGCAAACCACTGCGCTCCAGCCGAGGCGATGGAGTGAGACTCCAACTCAAAAAAAAAAAAAAAAAAAAGCAAAAAACCAAAAACTCAGGTAGAAACGTAACAAAAGAAGTGCAAGACTTGTACACTTTTACACCAAAAACTACAAAACATTCTTGAGAAAAACTAAAAAGTAGTAAATAAATCATCCATGAACATCCCATGTTCATGGATCCAAACATTTAATTTTTTTGCTTTTTTTCAAGTCAAGGTCTTACTCTGTCCCTTAGGCTGGAGTGCAGTAGCACAATCACAGCTTACCAGCTTTGACCTTCTGGGCTCAGCCTTTCAAGTAGCTAGGACTACAGGTGCATGCCACCACACCCAGCTAATTTTTTGAGTTTTTATAGAGACGAGGTCTCGTCATGTTAATGAGGCTGGTGTTGAACTCCTGGGCTCAGGCAATTCTTCCACCTCGGCCTTCCAGTGTGCTGGGATTACAGGCATGAGCTACCACATCCAGCCTAAATATTG